GTTTTAGTATTTGGCCGTAACGGTATGTCCTAGCATAAGAGTGGTCGTCGGTATACACCGCCTCCAGTTATAAACATATCGGGTATAAATAGCCTGCTTGCCAATTGCAAAGATAGAAGCAAATTGTTTATGCTACTCTAATTTATAATTAAAATCAGCAATTAAATTACAAATTGGAAATTCTTCTTGTTACAAATATGTGATGATTGTTTATAATATCAATATTTAATCCACTTTTATGGAGCACCGTTCAATAAAATGTCACATTCTGTATAAAATTCTATTCTTATTTTCTATCCTAACGCAAACTGACTTCGACAACTTAAATTTGATAAGGAAGAAATAAGCCCTGTATAGCGTGGTTCCGGCCACACGCACACAGTACACGGAACAGAACAGTCGCGCCTGCTTTACAACACTGATGTATACAGAGGCATATCCCTTGCCAAATCAATAGTTTGGAGAACCAGGGTCTGCCAACAGATGTTTCCTTTTCATTAATGAGCAAGCACTTTAAATAAGAGGCCCTTGATAATATATTTAAATGAATGTAAACATATTCGTCGGGTATTGAGTTTTGGCTATTGAATTTTAAGAATGGAGTTACGTTTTCTCACATTCTTGTCAAAGGTAATGTGTGAGGAGTTATAGAAGATTTAAAAAAATATTTACAGAGCCTTCGTCAGGGCTGCAATTTTCCCAGCATTCTGCAATATTTCTGAACGAGCAGCATTCGATAAGAGAGCGCCTTATCATAATGGAAATCATATTCCTTTAAAAAAATATTCAACGGCCAACCTCGGGGAGCAAGCCACAGCTCACAGCAATTTACCGCCAGTGTGTTGTTTTGGAAGTGATAGTATATGATGTGTTTTGGCAATTACACTTCTGTCGTCTCTCCTCATCTTACTACGTCTGATTACAGTTTTGCATCGTTTTCAATCAACAGAACTGTCAATACCTTCCGATATCCCGAATCCCAAGAAAGCAGAGCATCAAAAGCATTGAGAGGGGCCATTGCACTGGTCACATTGTATGATTCGAGGATACGAGGCAATGAACCCTCACTGACAGTGTGCGCCTGATGGAGCAAATAAAATAAGGCTAAGTTAGAGTGCAGACCAGTGCTAACTGCCATTTAAATATCCATATAAATCAAAAACTCCAAGGGGAGAACAGTCAGTGTTCATGCAAGTATGTCAGGAAATTTTAAGAACCGATGGAGCAGAATATGAATACGGAGAAATATGGAGGCAGAAAAAAATGCTGTAAAATATTATTCTGGGACAATCCCCCGGATACACACCGAGCAATCACATCCCCTGGACATTCCCAATACCCGGGTGATGTAATAATTTGACCAGAAAAACTAATATTTTTCTTTCCAATGTAATATTTGGGGTTTCACTTTGAATTTTGTATGAGTGGAGCCCTTCCTTTGTACATGAGAAAATGAACAGTTTTATCAGAATAAGTTTCACCAATTCATTGCAGCATACACAAAACTGTTTTAAGAATGCACAATGTATTTTGTCGTTTTCAAAACTAGCGCAGTACACGTTTTTGTTGTGTTAATGCAGCACGAAGTAACTTTCGTACTGGAATGACTTGAAAAGGGTATGAATGGGCCTACCTAGAGTAATTTCACCTGTACAAACGGACCTCTTGTTTTTTTATTCTTTCTTTCTTTCTTTTTTTGTGCTGTTGTTTTTATTGTTGTTTTGTTTTTCTGTTTCAAAATGTTTTGTAGCATGTTTCAAACAAGCTATGTTACAGTAAGTCTTGTCTAAAAAACTGGTTGATATATTGAAATTGGGTGAGTAGCAATAGTCTTGATACTGCAAATATACCTCGTTTTGCTTTAAAATGGTCCATCTTTTCAAAGTTTTCCCTACCCTACAGAAGTGTTACCGCTCTGAAATTATCTTTTAAAATGCTAATATATCGTCATGCAAACCGAGATGCCACTTCGAATGTCAGAAAACTCGATAGAGTGGCAACGTTTATATATCTTGGCGGAGAAAACACATTTCAGCATAAACGGAATACCAGTATTCTGCAGTAGATACATACATGATGTGAGATATTGATGATAGCAGCTGCCTGGAGGATATGAGCAGAAAATAGCAAAAAAATTATTAGTTCTTGGTTTGTTTTTACCTGCGAATGCACACATGCCATTTTATTGCGGATATTATTGCGGTATCACTGTTTCCTGAGTATATTTCTCGCTAGACAGTATCGGTGTATGTATAACTATTGTATCGGTGAAAATGCAAAACAAGCTGTTTGCAACAAAAATAGTTAACATAATTGATAATTTGAAATAAGGAGTTATTTCTTTTTCTTTTATTAAATGGTTTCCATTTTCCCACTTCTGACTATTCTCCAATTATACACTTTTGTTGTTATTTTTCGTTTATGATGGAGGTTATATAGTGGCTTATCTAATTAACAAATCAATTATAATGGCGCCAAAAGCATTCCTATAAGACCAAAATGTCAACCTACGCCAGAGGATAGTCTTTAAATGAGAACATTTAATTAAGTTAACATTGGAAATAAGACCCTAATTTCTCCAACGTGTTAACAATTGTCCACGAGGATCACAACCTTGATTTAAGCAAAAGAAGCGGGTAATATAAGATTGGGTCCACCAAATGCTGATATTTCTTCCTCGTTGCAGTTCTCCACAGTGTGTTTTCTCCTATGTCATCCAATTACCTTTGTAGAGAGAGGGGGGATTATCGTGCTATGCTCAATATGTCAACTTTTACGTGTAAACGATGGCACATGGTAAACAGACCCTGATTTTATATTCATGCTAGTTTGGTTAATAAAACCGTTCACAACATGTTTATATTTAGAACAAGTTAGATTAATACTGGTATTGTCTAACACCAAGATTCCCATAAACCCTGCATGCGGATTGACATTGGCAGTGAAGAGTGCTCTTACACGTTGCATCAATTTTTTTATCTCCTGTACAAAAATTACATTATGCGGCTTTAAACAAGAAGTCCTCATACTCATACGCGTTTTTTTTCTACAGGACAAGACCAGTAGTCTATTAGTAATTAAATGTCAAAATACCAAACCTAGATATTGATTTCAGCAGGTCGATAAAGCTGTCACTTCATCGTAGTGTCTGTCATCAGACGAAGTATGAAAAAGGAATGTCCAGCTTAATGCCATATAGAATTTGGATATATTTCCCTAGAGTATTTGGAAATTTGGTCCAAAATCTGGGTTCAATGGAAAAATAGTCACTGAGATAGTGGCACGTGCTGCCAGTGTCAGGGAGATAAGAAGAAACAGTTGATTGATATTTCTAGCCACGGTATGTTTGAGCGAGAACGGGCTGGGCGTGCACCATGTGACCTAGGTAGCAATGCCAATATATAATTCCCCCGAAGTCCTCGTTAAATTGTTCAAATTTGCCAGAACCGCGTTAGCTTTCTCACAGAGTCAACTAAGAAAGGAGTATCAGTACTTTAACGGACTTCTCTCGAGCATTTTTAATCTATTTTGAAACCCTGAGTCGAAGACGTTTTACTCGATAGAAAAATTCGCACCCTTCCAGCGAGATGAGTTCGCTTGAATAGTTTTCACGCGATTCGCTGCGGGGAAGCCTGCAGCTGACGCTTAATCCAGCCGCATGTATCTTCTCAAGCATTTATTGCTGCTGCAACAGCTCAGTAAATAAAACAGTTTGTGTTCTATCGACGCCTTGTTGAATTAGTCAGCGGCTAGCAAAGCCTTTGCCCGACGGTAGCAAGTGTATCGAACGTTTGAAATCGACCACATTTAATGTATAACCGGGGCGAAGTGCTGCTAACATTGTTACGTGGCGATTTTCTTCATCACCCACTCTTAGAGAAGTCACAGCTAGATTGTTCTACAAAATTGAAGATATACCTTCCCTACATCTGTGGTCGTCGTTCTCTCAATTGCAGTGAGAGATATTTTCTTATCATACTCACTTTGTGGGAATAATACAGAATAAAACATGCTTATAGTTTAACGATTTTCTCTCTTTGTAACACAGCAAGGTTATTTTTTCTGTTCTGGGCGAAGTGTTTTTACTCAATAAAAACGATTCCATATTCGTGTAAATGTTTTATTCTAAGCAGCAATTGCCAATTTTGTCAATCAAAACTTTTACACAGTTCTGAATGGATTATTATTTAACATGTGTGATAACCTTTGAGGGACTATTTTGACTGCACCAGTAATGAGTACCAATAAAGCTCGTAATCTTCATGGCATCGGTTTTTACTCATTTTTCTCGTTCGGCAAATTATGATCCGTACAATAAGCTAAGAAAACAGAGAGAGTGGTGTGAGGCCTCGTGTATCTGGTGGCTGTACAAAATGAACACTGCTCCGCCTACCATTAGGTAGTATTCTGTATTGGAATGCGGTAAATCGTTAAAATGCACCGTGTAAATATTTTGATGAATTTGTGCATTGTAGATCTACATTTGTACCAGTGTGGGTTGGGATGCAGTTTTTGACAGAGATCAGAGATGAGATGTTGTGAACTTGGAACCACTATGTAGTGGTGGCCATAAAAATGTCAGTGCTATCTTCAGACAGTATATTCATTCTACAACGTTACTAAATCTACTGTGTGGAAATACCGCATGCTGAACAGCGAACTTATTTGATAAAAAAAAAAGAACGAGATGGAAATGAACACCTTCATTCATAAATAATCAGAATGGTAAATTTTTAATGAAGTTGTGATTGCTTTCTTCGGATGTTAAGAAAATAAGACACCCCAGTCAAATTTAACGAGATACAACTTCGTTAAAATGGTAACAAACGCAATCTATGGTAACACCGGGATCTCACCAAACGCATTCATATACAGCTCCATTCCTCACAGCACAATACTCACAACATCTCAAAAAAAAAAAAAAAAAAAAAAAGAAAAGAAACAGTACGCGCACATCATAGATTTGACTACGGTTTAAATAACTCAAAAGCATTCTAATTTATTACATGAATATATAAAATAAATGTCCCTTTTGTAGAGTAGATATTCACAGACAATCGCAAATATTCCATATATAAATGATTAGACATACACATACAGAGAAAACATAACTGCATTTTGTCCGAATATAAAAATAGCAAAGTAAATTGGCTAGACGATTGATACATTTCACGACATTTGAAGTGAATGTAACATCTGGGTTGTCGTTGAATACATCAAATTTGGGGCACTAAATATTCACAAGGTAATAAATATACATTTTCCATTTAGTAGCACCAATGCTCAGTAATATTGAATATCATCATATGCAATGGTCGCCGGTGATATAAGCTCCATAGTTACATTTATACCTAAAAAGTTATCGTCCCTACCGACCCAAACACGGTTGGCATCAACTGCAGTCTATGAATACAGTCATTAGGTTGAGCAAAAATATAATGTATTATAGGCGTAACAAGGGAAAGCCGTCCCATACCCCTTTTCCAAAATGACACAAACTTTAACTTTTAGCAAAAGAGAAGAAAGACATACTTTGAAGAATGGGAGCATCCCATCCTCCCCCCTAGATAGCCCGGATCCACCGGATGCAGTACGCAGTGGTGGTAACAGAGTCCGTGTCAAGATCGACTTTTCTTCATTGTCTTTTGTACAGGCTGTTGCCTTGTTACTTATACACCGATTCCATAGACGACAAAACAATACAGTCAGTGCAAAAGCGGTATTCGCATGATAACTTTATATGAATTGTCGATTATACAGTATTTAACTTGGAAGGATGAAGTGATTTTTTCTTCAGTCAACAGCTTAATATTGAAATAGTTCACTCCAATATCTGACTTACAGTTAAGCTGGGTTTTTTATCTTAGATACTAAATTAAAAACTGCATACTGAGAGCATTCCATCTTTCTAGTCAACGTATCTGGAGAGTCAAGCGAACTTTTAGTACTTTTGCTTCTTTATAAACGTTCACCTCTAGGTGTAACTTAACGCCAAACAATTCTAGCACTTCGGCACTAAGGTTATTTTCCAGATGTAATGTGCATCTGCTATTCAAGATGGACTGCGCTACTTTTTTTTCCTAACTGAAAATCGTATCTTTCTTGTGTGACCGCACCATACGCATATTGGGGCTTGTAACATGTCAACGACAACGACCACTATTGTCGGTCCTTTGGTTGAATTTCTGATACCGATTTCAACAATACCTCTTAAGACCACTGAAAAACACCTCACCGTCAGTCAAACAGGTGAGGAGCAGAGAAAATGATAACACACGTTGATGTCACAGTAAATATGGTAAAGAGCCAAATACATAGTCTGTCGATGACGCGGGCGGCAAACATCCACTCGCTACGTACTTCTGCAGCTTGCTCTTTCTTTTTCAATTTGTCTGATATGTGTTTGAGCTCCCTATGTATATTGCGCAGTTCTATTTTAGTGGCACAGGCATGGGGGTTAGAATGATGTGTTGGTGAGAATCTGATATCATTGTCAACTTTTATTCTGAATGGAGTTCCATTGGTTTTGGGAGATCTGATGTGATCGTCATCCATGTCTAAAACGTTCACCAACAAACTTTTGGAAGCACGCTCTTTCATCTCCAATTCCCGCATATTGCTTCTTCTGATAATCGCTGCTCTGGTCAGCTCTCTGTCCGGCCTGGTCATTCGAAGAATCCATGCCAGCCATTCACAGATTCCAACTTTTACCTGAAATCATTATCAAACTACCATTTGTTACGTGACCAATGGGACCTTAGTCGAGTGAAGCAGCAGAGTGTTATATTAATAACAAATCCAAAGGCAAGATTCAATATTATTAAACTAAGACTATAGAGTAGTATCTCTGAAAACATGGATCTTGAAGTCTGCAGGAATTCGTGTATTTGTGTGACTGCGTTCACACGTTATCATTGCTGGTTAAAACAGACTCACCCATCTAGGCATCACGTGGGTGTCAGGAGAACGGAAGTGGTAATTAAGTACCAGCACAGTGAATACCACAGATAACGAGCAGACGATCATGATGCAGCCAAAATACATGCCTGAAAGTAGAAGAATACACCCAAATAGGAAGAGCACCGATTTTATTCACATTTGATTACTCATCCATTTATCTTATCAATTTTTTTGTCAAAGATGTGTAAGTCGAGTTGAGCGTGGTAATTGGAAGATCCATTCAAACTTGTATTGGTTTTTCATCTTTTTTTGTTGAGCGAGCGTTGATTGAAATAGAATATGCACAGAACACAATCGTCAGATCTAGATAAAACTTATAACTGTAAAATATAGAGTTTCCACTTTAGTCATCTTTGGCTTCCTCAGAAAAACATACAATTTCCTAGGGATCCTGAAAATGGCTTTATTACACGAAAAAAATTAGTGGAAAATTGTCATTGTTCATATTATAATGTAACCTCCCGATGTGTTACATTTTAACTATGTTTTATCACACTAGATGATTAACAGAGGAAAACTATGGATGGATTCGTTGAGACTTCAAAATTTCGTTTCCATAAGAAATTGTTGCTCCAGTACACTAATAATAGCAAATAGATGATTTTATTTCTTGCTGAGCGCAATGCTTTAAGGGAGACTATGTCGTTTGGGCACTTAACAAATACTATAAAGGGCTTAACAAACGGTAGTTCATGTCATGCGTGGGGGGAATTAACAGTAACCCTGCAGCTTTTCTTTATGTGGCCAAGAAACCACTCAAAGTAAGCCATCATGAAAAAAAAATCAGGCAAATTCGTTATTCCACGTGCTGACCAAAAGAAAAATCAATGGCTTTTACTAATCAAAAAGAGGTTGGCCATACTGCTTGCGACCTGAAGCTCTTAGATGGTTGTCAGATGAAGATAACAAAGTCGTTTCTTGTGACGCGCTTTGATGGATCGGAGTTTTTTTTCTTCCCGTTCCAACGGGTATTGGTATGCTTCGCATCAAATAATAAACGCCAAGTTTTTCTTCTTTTTTACAATAAAAACATAAAGATAAAAGGAAATATTTAAACAGAATTTTGACAAGAAAGATCCTAGGTTTATGTCCAGTTCCAAATCACATGTTCATCTTTGTGACAGTCTCACATTGGAAAATTTTAGATAAACCTCAGTCAATTTTAGAATAAATCACAATGGTAAGAGCTATAAGTCCTTTTTGACTATAAAATCTATTTCCTAATTTATTATTATTATTATTATTATTATTATTATTATTATTATGACATGTATTATTAGTATCTTATTCATATGAGACGATTCTGAGTTTAAGTCAAAAAACGACGATAACAATTACTACAAAAGTGAAATCAGTGCCTATCCCATCCGTCGATACAGTTCCCTTGAGGACTCATTCCACTATTTTGTCTATGATGGCCAACTTGACGAGCCAAATCAATCTAAGGTTTTGACTTTAATTTTGGACTTAATTCCCCATTCGGAAGAATCAATTAGGTACAAATACTTGGTCACCTGCGCTCCTGTTGTGTAGAATTTTGTATGTTAAACTAAAATTCACTCTTTTGAAGAAATGTCCAAATGTAAAAATATACAGGGAAACAGGGAATTATTTATCCATGTGGAAGCTTGTGTTCTTGTTGTAGTTGTTGTTGCTGTTTTTTTTTCTTATCTGTTTTTGAATATACATGTACAGTACGGTTGTGACTTATTTGCCTTTTTAATTCAGCAAAAACATTTCTCTTCGACAAATGATGTTTTTTTTATTAAATGAAGGCCATATCGTTTGTGCGTAAAATAGCAGTGGGTTTAGCGTTTATCAAAATTCTGTCAGACATTTTGTAAATCATAGTCTCTTATTTGAACTTTATTTCAATCTCACCTATCAATGGGACTGCATCAGACGTAGGCGGCATGGTTTCTGCCACCAACAGTAAGAACACAAACAAAGAAAGCAGCATGGTGACACCTGAAAATAAGTGACTAGTTTTGTAATACTGATATAAAAATCTAACCATCTGACTAATTAGTGCAGTAAAAACTGTCATGTTATGAATGAAAATAAAGTGAAGTACTTTAAGTAATTGACAATATTTTTTTCATTTTAACCTTAACAATTTCCCATCTGCAGTAAAAGCACTTCATTGCATCGCCACAATCATATAAAAGTATTTAACCATCACTTAAATAGCATATATCCCATCGACAATAAACATACAAGAAAGTCATTCTCATGAAATATGCTGACACATAATAAATACAAAGTGATAGCTCATATCATTCCATGCACCAGTGCACAGCAGTTATGGAATGCATAGGTATTTTGCCAATTCTAGCCTTACCTAGTGAGATCTTTTCACCAGCATCGGGTGGTAAAAGAAATATAAAAAGTGACATTGCGGACAACAGGACACATGGCAAGATGAGGTTGAACCCATAGTACAACGTTCGCCGACGAATATGGATGGTGTAAGTAACATCGATGTACGGATTATCTGGACAACAATCATACAGAAGGACATTCCGTTTCCCCGGCACGCCTACAAGAGAACGAGACTCAGTTCTATATACACAGCAATATTAGCCATTACATGCACACATGCAAAGTTCCAGTTTTAAAAGAAACTGAAACATATTTCAGCAAGCACGTGTATTGCCAGGTGTAGTCGGTAACAAAAGGCAGTGCCCTGATGCAGTGATGCCTAAAACACAAGCATGCAGCCGTGCAACAAGACTAAGCCCATAATATAAATAAAAAATGATCACAGAAAAAAAAAACACTTTTGTTACGGGACTTAAAGGGTAAACGGTGGTAGCTAGGTGACACCCCTCATAAGCCTTTGAAGATATGGAACGAAACCAGGGTATGTATCTACTCTAATAAAGTATCAAAATATTTGTACTTTACACATGCGCACATACATACATGCCACTGGGAAAACACGTATCCATTTAAAAAGGGACGAAACCAAAGATAGTGTGAAGTGGATCATTAAGCTAACTCAGTGGGAAATGGGAAAGTGCGTTGGAAACCTACCATGATTAATTTTTTCGCCTGATGAAGGGGGTATTGCAAAGGTTAACACGGAAAGTGTAGAAACAAGACAACAAGGAACAATGACATTCATCATGTAATAAAGACTCCGTCTCCTAATGTGACAGGTGTAGGTAATGTCAATGTATGGTTGAGTGGGACAACAGTCGTAAAAGTGCACATTTCTTTGCCCGGGCATTCCTGAAAATGGTAAACATAAACTAGTGATACGGTTATAAAGAATACTTACTGTGCCCTATTTTCACTTTGAAATTTCACAAGAAACCATTCATTTTGTCCAACCAATACTTCCTTGTGCCTTCAAAATATAGGCAAATACACCCAAATGATGTTCTCTATATCAAATCCTCTTGGATATAGCACATACATTACATGTACATGTACGTTGACCATTGCTCAAAACGGACAGCAAAAAATGAATGTATACATGTTGTTACGTAAGCACAGTGACACGAATCAAAAGATATTTGTAAGAATAAAAGAAAAACAAGACAACTTTCACTCAAGAAACAAACACTGACAAAATGCACAAATGAAAGACAAATTCACGACATGCACAAAAAATATTCTCTGTGATGTCTCAACTCCCTATATAAACTTTCCTATTGAAAAGAATTTAACATGCTATATTGTTGTTCCATGACATTTAACAAAAAATACCAATAATTGTACTAGAAATAAATAAAATATCCTTTGTAATAAAACCTCATCAACACATAACCCACTAAAATGGTGAAAATGACCTGGCGAATTACGGTACGGTAAACATTTATTTTAAGTCTTCTCCAGCCCAGTGTACCGCAAACTTTCATAGTCCCATTCACAACAAGAAAGAAGGCAACAAAGTATATCGATTGTTCGAGATTTGGCTAAACAAGATCGCTTTTATTGCATAACCCCACTATCCTAATGATTTTAACAATTTTAACAATATAACAAATTGTTGCCTGTATTAAATGTTATGGCCTTAGGGATAAAAATATATATCAAACATTCAATAAGACCATCATCCTAAAAATTAAGATGTGATGAGTATGTGTATGTATGTGTCTTAAAGTATATCTTACCAATAAGGTTCCACTCCCCGTTGGGAATAAACGATGATGTATCTCCTTCCGGTTTCTCCAATAAGAGATTTATTTGGGTTCCATCGTGTGTCCATGAACCAAATTTCATCTTACACAATTGGTCATCAAAAGGAAACCACGTGATGTCAATTTTGCACGTGCTTTTGAACATGCCAGGCGGGACCCACTGACATAAACCGTTACTGTAGATTACGACATTGGTAGGAAACGTGCCGTCAAATTTTTCGTCCGCACTTAAATGAAATGAACCAGAAAATTTAAAGATGCAAGAAATTATTTAGTTATTTCTATTTAATAATACATGTATCAACATTTTCATAATCATGAATCACTGTTTGTTATTTGGCATGAAACTAGCGCTGCTCTATGGTCTTATCATTTGAGCAAACTGTATGCAGAGAGGGTTCTATAACAAAAAAAAGCAAAAAAGTAAAAAAATTCAAATTCTCAATTTATTTGAGAATACTTGTAGAAAACTTGTGTTACCTGAGAAATAAAACGACATCATATACCTGTTGTACAAAAGAACATCTGGTTTCCACAAGTATTTAGCTGGCAGTCTGATGGACGTTATTCCGCCATACTCTGATGAATTCCAGGTCAGCGTATAGTCATGCCAGTACTGAAAATAAATAAAAAGGTATGTCTCCTCAACAAATGTTTATCTGACGCATTTAACCTTCATCCGACCATAACTAGGTTTAGACAAGAGTATTTAAGATACAGGGGTTGGCAAAAGTATTGTACCATTCTGCTTTACGGTGAACAACAGCTAGATGTGTTAGTTTTTTTTTAGTTTGTTTGTTTTTCAATTATTATTTTTTGAAAACTGGTTAAAGACCAGTGCTTTGCCCTCATAAACGCATGTTATTATGTCACTACTAATGTTTGGATAGGATAGTCACGCGATCTCAATATGGCCACCATCCTTCTAAGCAAAGACTGATAAAGGTTCAGTAATCTTTTCGGGTCTATGTTGGCCCAGGCTCTGGAGACACTTTTGGTTGGAGCGTTTCTGGTAAAGGGTTGGTACTTTGCCACAGGTTTTTTTTTTTTTTTTTTTTTTTTTTTGGGGGGGGGGGGTTGCGTCTTGTGACTGGGCAGGCCAATGTACCCTGTTGATGCCATGCTGGTAATGTCACTCTTGTACAGCCCTGGCCCTGTGGTGTAGCGGTATCATCTTGGAAAATGCACGGATGATTCTTGTCCCCAAAAACGTTTTCTACTGATGGTAAAAGGTGCTGGTCCAGAATTTCAGTGTAACGTTCGTGGTTCAGGTTCCCATGCAACAACCCCAGTTGACCAATTTCTTAGAAACCATACCAGGGGAAATATATATTCTATGGCCGATAAGAAATGCATATTGTGTCTGTGTTCCCCATACTCTCACTTGTCCACCCATACTGTTAACAATGGTCTCATCAGAAATTTCAAAAGGGCCGTCCATGCAATGGTTAATGGTTTTTGCCGCCCATGTCACTCTTCTTCGTCTGTTTACCAAGGTGAATGAGTGGTTTCCTCTTGGCAGCCATGGTGTGAATTCTTGTAGCATGGCGACTTCTTTTGGGTATTTCTTTTGCTAAACTCAGCCTTCAAATTGTGCGGCCATTGCAAAGCTAATTTGCTGCACGGTTCAAATCTCCTACGCCTAGAAAAAGACGCCTGTATTATCTGGCACTTGTCTTACTCAGGCGCCCACTTCGTGGTGACTTATGGATATCACAGTGCCCTCCATCCTTCTGCTATAGCCCTATATGGAGGCTGCCCAGACACACCATATCTGACGGCTATCTACACTTCCTCCATCAGAAAAAAAAAATTATTTTCATTCTTCACTTTTGAGTTCCCGTACTTTCAATGGTAGCAACTTGACAGCCAGAAGGGCGTTACACTTTCGATGACACACCTTTAAAGTGACTCACGATGTACTCCTGGTTACTTCAGGAGTACCCCACGAGTCACTTTCCAATAGCGCACTATTCACACAGATGGTGCAATACTTTTTCCACCCCCTGTAGTAGTTCTAATGCAGTTATAATAGGCAAATGGTCCATCTTTGTGGTAGTCCAACTTTTGAACCATAAAAAAACATTGAGAAAATACCTATTCCTAAGAGGCCCAACACAATTTATCTCCTGGTCGATATTTCCGCCCTTAAATACCCAGTCATATGTGTGTGTGTGTGTGTGTGTGTGTGTGTGTGTGCTTCTTAGCATGTATATAAATTTGAAAAGGATACCTTTTTATTTCAGTTTTTAGTATGTGATTACATGTAAGTTACAGGAAAAAACAGAAAACCTAGGTAGATGGAAACATTGATAAAACCAGTGGCAAACATTCGATTCAAAAGGTGGCCTAAGAAACCAATACTAGAATATCCCTTGAGAGCGGAATGAAGGTTTGACATATTGTGACTATTTTTTCCATAATGTTTCATAAAAAGGCCACTGCCTGCTACTCATCAATCAATTAATATGATTATCATGAGGATGTTTCCAGAGAGGTCAGTCTACTACCCTCACTTCAGTTTATGTGTAAATGTCAAGATGATTATCTAACATGGGGTCAATTTAATATCATGATTCGAAATATTGCAAAGAATTTCGGGACAAAAAGTTGCAGGACAGACGTTTTACAGGTAGCTGCTGCGTATGTAAAGAGTTAACGAAACATCGAACTTCCCATCGAACCACGATGATAAATCTATCTCCAATGTATATCGAAAAACGTGACTAGCCATTATCTGAAAACATTTCCGCTATGATAACCTAATAATAACTGTCATGAAAATATAATGAAGATGAATAGATACAATACGTGTAACTGAAAAAAACTGAAACTACACTAATGAGAGTTTAGGGGTCGGTAACTGCGTGATTAATTACTACAGTACCTTATTCTTCAATTGCAACCATTTAATCTATTATAGATCTGTAAATGACCTGATAACTGGTGATCTTTCAGTTGCAAACAGTTTTAATAAACAACAGAGCCATAGAATTAGCGAATTTAAAATGTCCATTTTTTACGTGATCTCACTTCAAAGTAAGGTTATCACAGTAAATTTGGCAATATGTTTCTGGAACTCAGTTTTATTGAAAAATACAAAATAACCGACTTTCGACTTACCAGGTTCAACCAAATGTTGGTGTTGATAACTTGATTCTTTTCATCCTATGTGATAAAAAATGAAATATGATGATAGAAAGTGCATAGTTTATTCACAGTATAGTGATTATCTAAATTTAGATATGCTTCTTAGAAATGATCTATTTGTCGCATCAAACAGTGTAATTAAGAAAGAATAAATTAGCAAAACAAGGCAATTTCACACGCTAGCAAAAAAGAATTCCCACATATTCCCCATGTACTCTAATCCTTTGAAACTGCGTCAAATTCACAGAATCCAGTTCAATATTCGTATGATGAATGAAACCATTAATGCACCCAAACATTCCGGACTAGATTATAATTTATCAGGCTTGTCTGATGTTTGTCAAAATAAAATCACAAATTATAGTAAATGTCCCTTGTGAGACATCAGTAATGAGTAATAATCAGATCTCTCCCACTACAGGGCAAATAATGAATGCGGTTGCAGTTGCGCTGCGTGAAATAACAATGGTTATTTTTCCAGAGTGTCCGATGAGCTTAGGCTGACAATAAAGTAAGCAGCAGTTTTTGGCAGGGAGATCTGATCAATTTTCTTATCATTTTAGCCTTAACCGCTAAATGTAACTAAATGAATTCAACAGGCTCAGAAAAGTAAAGACCGGCTTTTGTAATTAGGTTATATAAATGGTTGCTGACTTTTTGCCCTCTGTCTCAAACCAATGTTCTGTAATGTTGCCAAGATTTTGGAACGCTGTGATGGAGCAATTTAATAAATAAGTGCTTTGAAGAAACCATTTTGATTAAATGAAAAGCTTTTGTTATTCACGTAGTATAATTACACCTCGTTAACATCGAACTTGAGATGCTTGGAGGACGTTTGGCCTACTCTCACCAACAGACTCAGGGAATCGCCCTGGGGTTGCAAGGTGGGATTTAAGTAATCATGATAGTCTTCCATGGCGTCTCTTTTGGTCTCAATCACACTTCATTGGCATCGTTCGCCAAGAGATATGCGAGTTTATGGAACTGGGCCCATTGTCCATCTCAAATGGTCTCTCAGGTTTCTTGTCGCTCTCCATCTGGTTTCAAAGTGAACAGGTGGCAAAGGCCGAGAGCGCTATTCAAATTTCATGGTCGCCGTTATCGTGGTGAGAGGGTCGTAGCCCGGTGTAAACGAGGCAATAGTTTATTTACTATATAAAATCATCCTGGTCCAAACAAAATTATATGCAAACTGAAAGTGTCACTTGATATCTTTACAACAGTTAATGCGTATGTAATGTAGGAATGAATGCTAAACCAATACTCACCACGTCTATTATTTGCTGTAATGTTAATCCAAATGTCACTTCTAAGGCTTCACTTTCATTTTTCACTGGTCTTTCAAGAAGGTTATATGACCTATTTTTAAATATTTCGTCCAAAAGACGTCTTTGGTGATACCCTTGTTCCGTACCTGGAATATATCAGAAAAGAGAAGATTGTAAACAGAAATATATGGGGTGCATTAAATGCAAACACAAAGAAAAAGATGACACAGAATTATACAATATGTGTCAATTAATGTTTAGTATATAGGCAGATTTAAAATTAATTATCCTATCTTCTTTACCTTGGTGGGAAATCCACAGGCTATTCTTATAGGCGGTAAATCATCGAGTTTTTTCTTACAATTAGGGCGTATAACAACATTTTATTGTGATTAAATTGTTTTTTTGCATTTTCAATAAATTGGTATTTGATATTTTCAATTAAAATACGAATGTAATGGAAAATATGTTTCAATGATGCGTTAGACATCAGTCGATGGCAGTGTCCGAATAATCAAATCGTCAGGGAAACAAAACATGGCTAGCACACTACTGAAACTGATCCAATTTGATGTCTGACATCGATCTACTAGGAGTCCCTGGAATTATAGCAGCAAGAACGAAAAATAGGCATTAGTACTGCCAGCTTTAGGCTTTAATCTATCACCCGTTCCATGCTTATACCTTATACTAATGATCACTTATAGGACGGTATGATCACATAAGAAAATCTTCTTATCTTTTTTAACGATCATCAAAAGACACCTATTTTACCCATCAAAGCTAAAAGGCAAGCACGACGGCACCGATTCAACATTTGAAAGAAAAATGGTAATAGGTATTTAGCACATCAGTCAGACTTCTCTCCCTTCCTTAGGTAATGTGTATCGACGTGTGTTTCTTTTTAATCATATCCGCTTTTTACAAATTAATATAATGAAATAGCTCTTTACTCAATGCGCAACATATCTTCAATATTTCTAACAAACAAAATTGGCTGCGCATTCATTGTAAAGCGTATGTCACTAAACAATTTATCGAAGACTTGGGTTCATTAAACGAACAAAACGGATGACATTTGATACAGAAAGCGCGAGCGTTCAGCTTTAAAAAGTCAAAGAGCAACATTCATAAAGGTACTTGCACGCATTTTAATGACCATTTAGATGGAAATGGTTTTCAAAAAAATGCGATTGCATGCACCTCCAAATGATCGTAGTTGATTTTATTTTTCAGTCTATATTTCCTAATATAAGATAATGCCGGTGGGTGTAATGGCGATAGGCACCCTTAAGAAAATAAAGCATCGCAATTGTATTGCATGTCCCATATAATCAATTGTCCTACCACACTTCCTTTGCCTTTCTGAGTTACTGTTCTATTTAGTATAAAAACTCCTGGAGACGAGAGACGCAAGAACCATAATGGTTCTATTCATAATCGATCTTTGTATAAACAGCTATGTGTTTGTACTCTTTTGTCACAGTTTCTTCCGCTTTTACTTTCTTTTGTAGATCCTACAGTTTTTCGATTTTACAAAATTTCATTCATTTCTACCATGTGCAAAACTGCACTAATGTATTTTTCTTCTAAACAATCACCTGAAAGCACTCTTTAATAGTTGCAGTCTACAATAGTCGCAATGTAACTTAATCGCCTTCGTTATTCGTGCTTGAGTTAATTTGTCAAGTGCTTGTTATTTGAATTAGCTTTTAAGCCACAAATGTGTGGAGCTCGATATCGGGCTGGGTTTGTGAGAAGATGTCACTTTTCGCAACTTTAAATCCCATTTGAAAAAGTCAGCGAACCACATTTGTAAATACGCTTTTTGAAAACAATTTTCGGAAATATTTAGGTGCAATTCCGCTGCCTACATGAGTATAAAATGAACTAATCATGAGAAGCAAATGCGCGTCTTTGGTACACCATGATACCGAGTAATTGCTTCAATATTCGGTCATTCATATACGAAATCACATGACAATAACTTATTTTGCGATTTTATGTTGGTTGTTATACTGAGCACGTAAAAATAATTAAGCCGTCTAACCGTGAAACAACATTAATTTACATAACAATTCACTGAGTCTGTTGCTATAAGAGTCGTTTCAGATAAAAAAAAAAACAGATATTTTTTTTACATAATAGTTTGTCAACATTATGCACCATTGTGTGTCTTTTACTAATTAGCCATTAATTTTTAAGGATGTGAGATCAAACCCACACTTCAACGCGTACATGTATTTTAACGTCTGAGATGCTTTCATCTACACTCACCTGGCGGAAAACAGCAAAAAATTATGAGGAATGGTAGGAATATCGTACACAAGCAGTTCTTCTTAAGCATCTCCATCCCATCAGATACTCTCCCATTGATTAATTCCTGACACTGTCTGATGGGCAATATCACCACGAAAATCCCTGGCACCTTGACCCTATCTTGAAATCAATGCTCGGTATTATCTACCAGCAGCTGAAAAGAAAAAGCGCAATAACCACGTGACGGATGATTGAAAACAATGCAAGCTCCCTGTTAGCACATACACTGTCGGGGGGCAAAGATGTTTCATTGATTCACGCTTAGGAGATCAACGCTGGTAATTTCACGCATGCGTCCTAGAACATACAGGCGCTGTGCCGCTGTGTTACCTGTTTATAAACGTTTTTCAGCACGCCTCCAATTAAAAACTTTCCTTTCAGAAATTGGTATCGATATGGTTTTATGTCGTGGTAAAATCAAAATAATCCTAATCTGCAGCGGTGAAGACAGATATCACTGTTTTATCGAAACAATCTGATTAATTTTCATTTGCACCAACTTTTTGCTCCTATAGCTGTTGTGATTTCTCATATTTTTCATGATTAATCCTGGTTACATTCATTAACATACTTCATTATTTTTATATTTGGCACTTATATAGTTTGGGGGATGTTTGATTATCTCCCCAGTTTTGTAACTTTGTATCTTATTAGTTTTCGTCATTAATAAATGACAATTTCAGTCATATGGACTTATCTTACTTAATTTGGAGCAAAAACAGAACTTCGCTGTGCTTCTGAACATTTGGCTACATAAATCTGATTAAGAATGGTTGACGTATTAGAAATATGTTGTCTTTAGTGTTCTCTTTGATAACAGAAAAAAATGTTTTTAGATCTGAATGAAACAGTCTTTGCACAAACACTGGCGCCCGATTTGAGGATTGCTTTAAATGAAATACCTAGACAGATAGCCGGCGAATAATTTCTAAATGATAAAACGATAGGTATTATGATTGACACGCTGGTTAAGGCAATTGGAAATTATAGCTATCAGTCTCAAAGTCTCATATAACTGAGGTGAAATGCCTTTTTTAAAATACATCTTAATGTTGTAGAGAAAAAACAAAACGCTAAGCATATTTTTTCATTTATCAAGTTATAGCGCTAAATAAAAAAGTCAGCCTACCAAAATAAGTCCAGTACAGTGGCAGATATAGTTGAATTGAAATTCTAACACAAGAGCTCATGTTCTAAAGTTTTCTTTTAATAAAAGAGACGTCATTTTTATTAAATGAATGGCACAATTGTTGATAACTCTTTAATTCCCACACGAGAGCACTATGAATTATAGTCTAAAGAGCAGGATAAGACCCATAATAAATGTAACAGGATAGAACCGATCAAAGATTAGAAAGTGCGGTTAACAACAAGGAAAATCAATTTTAACATCCAAAGGTACTTTATCCTTCTGGTTGATTCACACGGAAGAAATATTTCACAAGCATGAATATCAAATTAGCACTTTAGTGAAAAAAGTAGCCTCATGCCTTAAGAACCATCTCCAGAAAATGTTCAAAAGGTACGCTTCGGTTCTTTCTTCCTCCTACGCATGCATACATTAAGCACTACAAGATTACCAGAAGAAAAGGGATCATAGTTTCCAGTTGCTTTAGGATTTCCGTGGTACCTTATGATCTCTCATAGACTGTATGATAATCGATAACTGCGTTTACGCCCCGCATAATCCCAGATCTCCGCCATGATTCACACCATTAGGGAATCTCAGGGTCCCACGTATGTCAATATGGATTTGTATTCTTAGGCTTTGATTAATAGAGAAAGTTCTACCGCTTGTGATAACGCATTTACGTGATTCAACTCACTCTTTGGGCTTATCGGTGCTATCCCATGTGTAAGCTTTTAATTTTTTTCCCTCCGCATTTTAGTAATGAACAGTAATTCGCTTAGCTTACTACAACGGGTTTGGTGTCAAGGGGCTATTTCATAAAAGGAATAGCACTGTTTGCTCTCGTAAGTAATCAGGATATTCGAGAACCAAGACCTCTACTTATTATTGTTGTTTTTACCCACTTAACTTTGAAACATGTGCTTATTCATGTTAGTAGATATTTGAAGTGATAAAGATACAATATATTTAATATGCCATATATAGGCCTACGCTAACCGGTGACTCCAACTTCGTGATCATGTTGATACCCCAAATGTTGTTTTTACTATTTAGGTAAAAATGTGAAAATGCTGAACCGACAATGACAGTATACTATAGGTGTTTTTAATGCTGATGCTCTGTTTCATAGTTGACAGTGCCAGAATTATCTCTGTCCTTTACTTTTCACTGCCCTTATGAGGCACTTGTCTTACATTGTATGAAAAAGGGTGTTCGTTAATTGTGTTCGCCGTAAAAGGTACCTCTCGGCAGTATTCAACATTTAGAATATATATATATATATATATATATATATATATATATATATATATATATATATATAATGGTACACCACTCTTCTCTTAAAAAAAAAGAAACCAAAAAGTCATTCTATGCACATGATTCAACACTTCCTTTAATTTGATGCAATTACCATGACAACTGCAAGAATAATTTTGCCTAGAAATCTACTGTATGGTCATGCAAGTGGCGTCGTCTGTTTTTCTTTCTTTTTTTTTCTGCAGGCACAGTAAATTAATTTCTTTATCTAATAAAACGTCAAAATTGCCGTGCGTTTGTTATTTAAGTGGCAGCTGGAATTCCCATGGTCACGAATTAAACCCGAGTGGTTGACCGGCGCACAGGACTGTTTAAAATTTAATCACCGTTTATCTTCTTTTAAAAACATATGAACTATCTGCGTTTTTAAACAGCATTTTGATGGCCAGAGGGGTTACATATGTTAAGACGATAATCGTGATCTTGTGCATTCCCACACGTGACAAACTATTTCCTTACATGTGACCCGCGCTTTTATCATTTCGTTCGTTCAAATACATTGATAATAAAAGCTATTGGCATAATCATATCAAGTGAAAACATTTACCTAATGAAATTAATTCACACATACTTTAGTTGATAGTTAAGTAGACACGCTGACACAACAACATTAATTCCACCAAGAACTATAGCACCTGCTAGTAAACTTTTAATCGGCATTGGTGAAGATAATTGTAAAATTCTTCTTGTGACGGGCACTTTAGATCAAACTTTAAGCACGTGGGCATGCGCAGGTACTACTTTTGCAACTGAGAGATGATGGCATGCACAACAATCATAAAAAAATTACTTTTCAAACTGCCAAGACATAAGCGATCTTAACGTCAGAGGCTATTTGATAATAAAGCTATGCTTCACACACGTAGCCAAACGAAACCAGACCCCATTACGTGTCTGTCTCTGTCTTTTTTCAATTAGCCATTGTAGAATCACCGGAAGCCAGACTACTTAATGAATGGAATATCACCGTTGCTGATTTGGTCGTTGAGGGTTATCTATCCTTCCGTGCACAATCAGTTCGTTTACCTACGAGATTCCCATGTAATATGACCACAGCGGCCAGTGCACAGATATGAGTGGTGAAATGGTCATGAAATGGCCATCGCTTCAGCTCGCTATCAGTACACTGTGAAATGACCTTCCCCTTATGCTAGCCCATAATTGGGTCATCAATTTAACAAAACGTTGGTTTACTGCCAACGCATGTTGAAACAATGTAATTTAGTTTATTTCCCATATAAACAAGATTTGTTTATATCATGTTTCGGATAGTTCTCGGTATTATTACTGGCAGTGTCAAATTATGCAAGATATCACAGAGTTCTGCATTCATGACCATGACAATATTTGCAGAGAGGATGTGAAAACATATCAAGTTTTAAGATGAACCAAAATCTGCTTCTTTCCTCGTCAGGAGATTATAGCCACAGGCGGTTTATTCTCCGACAAGAAATCTTCGTGGCCAATATCAATAACTCATTCTCGACTAAGTTATTTTTCTTGATGCGCAGACATTCTTCAAATGTTAAGTAAATGCTATGGTATGGAGTAAATAGATTTGCAGCATTCATAACTTCGTTGTCCAGTGGCATCAGATATCCTAGAAAACTACCCATAAAACCACCAGAAGCGTTTTCTTGAAAACATTTTACCTAAACGCTAAGTACCGCGGTGTCATTAGTTGACGTGTAATTTGCGTCAAAGTCTGGTCACGTACACAAATACAGGAAGTTCAATCTGCTGTTTTAATTGATTAAGGAATTAACATTATTTTCTACATTACTATACAATATCACCTAGCTATGATAAATTGCCTTTTCCAATGTGTACTTCTATCGTTAGCTCACTTTCCAAATCCCAGATCTGTAGATGATAATGCTACCGTTTGCTCTTCCTGCCTAAAAGTCTTATCGTTCATTTCGAGTGTTTGATTGTTGGTCTCAAATCGTATTAATTACAGCTGTGATGAAATTGGCTACAATGCCACGAGACCCGATATTCAACATGTGCGATGTAATGCAGATATACAAGCTACAAAGTTCAATCACAAAATATTATTGAGATTCGACTATACGTTTTATGGTTCATAATCATGTGTGTACTTGAAAAGAAAAATGACATACATGCACTGAAATGAAGGGTAGTTGGCTTTGAAGTGCAGAATTATACACAAAATCCAAGATTATTATCAAGGCGTTGTTATTGGGAAATGTAATACTGGAATATATTAAACCCAATTTACACTGAAAGGAGTCCTTTGTGCGGCCCTTTTGCTACCATGAAACTGGCCAGGTGACTGTTGGACGCTAAAAGGGGTCTCAGTGATCGCTCAAATCTCGCACAGAACGTTCACGGGTCGCCGTGGACGCCAGGGTGGCCGCAAAGTTTTGAACAGGGCAATCGCACAAAGGATGCAGTGAAGGTTGGTCGCTGCAACGTCGCTCAAGGGAAACAGAAAGGAGGCACAATCACCGCNTATGGCCTTAGGGCGTATAACAACATTTTATTATGATTAAATTTTTTTTTTGCATTTTCAATTATTTGGAATTTCATATTTTCAATTAAAATACGAATGTAATGGAAAATATGTTTCAATGATGCGTTAGACATCAGTCGGTGGCAGTGTCCGAATAATCAAATCGTCAGGGAAACAAAACATGGCTAGCACACTACTGAAACTGATCCAATTTGATGTCTGA